GCAGACTGGCTGTACCGGTGTGGCCGAACTTCGCATGTCCCCCTTCTCACAGGCTGGCCTGGCCACCTGGGTGGTAAATTGCATCTTCTGTCTTCTATATAGCTTACACACCGCTATAACACTTTTTTCCGCACGGTATTCCAGCTCCGTTTGGAAATCCCTTGAAGGTTGGCTTCATTCGGCCTGCAAACTGGTCAGCAAACCAGTGCAGATATGAACTTTTTAAAGCTACTGCTTCTAGTCTACACACATACCCGATTCACTTGGCACCCGTGCAGTTTTAGATTGCTTAAACCAATCAACAGCTAGGGCTATGTATACATTTTGGAGTTCAATGTGTCTCCACAGAAGTCCCAGGTCTAGTAAAATAAATCAGCGATTACTTCTGCCGGAGCAAAATTTCGCACGTGATCCTGCCCATGTTAAAAAATTACCCTCGACTAGATTATTCAATGCTCACAAAGGCACTTACTTAGCCTTTTATCTCCCCTTTTGTTCTGTGTCTTTTCGTCAAGGCGTGTTTGCGTGACCCTTCTATCTGATACGATCGATAAGTAAGCGTACAATACAGGAAAGGTGAGACTAAGGGTAACGGGTTGGTAACAAAAAGTAATTTTGCTTTTTTATTTCCTTTGAAATTGATTTCTTACATGGCGTAGATCAGTATATTCCAAGGGTCTAAAAGCCTTGACCGAAATTTAATAAGAATATTTGAGCCGCGGTCCATCAGCCACTGCGGGATAACCGTCTAATATTTACGAGCTATCAGCAGTATAACATAAGTAGTCATGGATGGGGACGAAGGGTTGTCGAGAACCGGATCAATTTTTTGATTATCCTGAGCTTTCGTAGTCATTTGTCATACTTGCAGCACAGGTATTCGCTAAATGCTTGGAGGCGTGTTTTGCTGATATTATGCCGCCGCTTTACACAACTGTGAGGCGTGCGGCTTTCCAGTGAGCCATCCAGCTTTAGATGGTTACTTTCTAGTAGATACTCCAGCTCTTTAATTGTAGAATTTTAATTTCCTCAGAAATTACTTACTACCTTGAGGTAAATCAGTATATTCAAAGGTCTACAGACGCAGGCTGAAATTTGATATGAATATTCGGCCAAAAGCCCAGCAGCCACTGCGGGATAACCGCGTAATATCTACAAGCTTCTGTAGATGGTCTCGTGGACTTCGGCCCAAATATTCAGCATAAATTTCTGTCC